TTGTTTTGAAAAGCTTGACGCCAACCCTTTTTGTAAGGTATGTCCAAAGTACACCAGGAAACCCTAGAATGAATATGAATATGTTCCACTATTAAGGACCATTGAAATCCATGAAATGGTAAGGGTCACTGTACATGGCACGTGGCTACTCCTTGTTACAAAATGTAGGGGTGTTTGAAACAAACAATTCCAGTGCTTCATGGGTTCTAGCTTTTTGTGGGGAAGGTATTTGCAAATGTTAACAACATGAAGGGGTGTCTCACCAAAACAATTCCACCATTTCATGGGCCCAAGCTGCTGGTGGAGAAATTAGTAAACTTAGGGTAAGGTGGATGCTTGTAATGGGCACCACATAGAAAACATCTGGGTTATATATATGGAAATGTCTGAAACGTTGTTAAATTATTAGCTAATATGCCATTGCTGTGAGTGGCAAACTCATGTTTTTGGATCCTTCCCTTTTTGTAGGGGACATCAACATCCTTCTCTATTCTTTGGTAGGCCCCCCTTTTTGTAAGAGGTATCTTTGCAATATTTAAACAGTGTATGAAATTTGTTTTGAACAGCTTGACGCCAACCGTTTTTGTAAGGTATGTCTAAAGTACACCAGAAAAACCCTAGAATGAATATGAATATGTTCCACTATTAAGGACCATTGAAATCCATGAAATGGTAAGGGTCACTGTACATGGCACGTGGCTACTCTTGTTACAAAATGTAGGGGTGTTTGAAACAAACAATTCCAGGGCTTGATGGGTTCAAGCTTTTTGTGGGGAAGGTATTTGCAAATGTTAACAACATGAAGGGGTGTCTCACCAAAACAATTCCACCATTTCATGGGCCCAAACTGCTGGTGGAGAAATTAGTAAACTTAGGGTAACTTTGATGCTTGTAATGGGCACCACATAGAAAACATCTGGGTTATATATGGAAATGTCTGAAACGTTGTTAAGTTATTAGCTAATAATATGCCATTGCTGTGAGTGGCAAACTCATGTTTTTGGATCCTTCCCTTTTTGTGGGGGACATCAACATCCTTCTCCATTCTTGGGTAGGCCCCCCTTTTTGTAAGAGGTATCTTTGCAATATTTCAACAGTGTATGATTTTTTTTGAAAAGCTTGACGCCAACCCTTTTTGTAAGGTATGTCCAAAGTACACCAGGAAACCCTAGAATGAATATGAAAATGTTCCACTATTAAGGACCATTGAAATCCATGAAATGGTAAGGGTCACTGTACATGGCACGTGGCTACTCTTGTTACAAAATGTAGGGGTGTTTGAAACAAACAATTCCGGGGCTTCATGGGTTCTAGCTTTTTGTGGGGAAGGTATTTGCAAATGTTAACAACATGAAGGGGTGTCTCACCAAAACAATTCCACCATTTCATGGGCCCAAACTGCTGCTGGCGAAATTAGTAAACTTAGGGTAACGTGGATGCTTGTAATGGGTTATATATGTAAAATGCCTAAAATGTTTCCAAAAATATTAGTTAGCTAATATTGCCAGTGGAATTCGGGCTCTCGATCCGAAGACAGCCAAATAGCTACAAATCATATCCCAAATCTATTCAAACATCACAGGGCTCTAGTTCCTTACAAAATGACTCTGGGAAACAGTTGCAAGCCTCTTACAAAAAGAGCAGGTGCAACCTGGACACAAATTTGAGAACCCATTGTTCACATCATAACCTTCCTACAAAATGCCTTTTGGATATTGGCGATGCAACTACAGAATGAGGGGCTGTAACCCCTTCAATGTTAACTCTGACTTGATTTCCTTACAAAATGGCTTCTGACTTTTGGAAAGAACAACTACAAAATGAGTCCTGGGTTCATTCTTACAAGATGCCTGGGTGCTAGAAATTGATTTCTTACAAAATGACCCCTGCCAACCATTTTATATGGGCCTTAAGGCCACCCATTTCGTAGTGGAAATGGGGATGGGGATATCTGTTCACAATCAGAAGTTGCCTTCTCGGCGGAAAGTGTCCACTTCCAACGGGCTGTTGTTAGAAGGTGAACCAATCAAGGGCACCCTTTGCGGCTACCCTCATCAAAATAGCCAGGCACTTCCATCTAAGGGAGGTCAACGAATCAACAAAAAGCCCTCCTTCCATGCAAATCTTCTAAAAGGACGACTCTTTCAACAAAAAAGGGTCTGTTGATTAAAAAGGAATATTAAGGAGTTCTAGCTCTGGATGGGGCGCCATATAACAACAAAATCGGGGGTGCCATATACCACGTGCCATTTACTGTCCATCGAACACTCCAGGTCCACCTTCAATCGAAGGGATCCAACCGCTTCCCGTGCCAGGCTTGCGAGGTAGGCTCATCGTGCCAGGTTACCAAACTGTTTAGATCTGTTTTGAAGGGAACTGGACATGCCAAACATACTCTGTATAGACTTGTTTAGTAATACCATGTCATACCATATGCCAGAAATGCATAGGGCATTCCGGAGCGAATGGCAGAACCGAACAACCGAACATTCTGAGCCCGACGTCCAACGGCAGTGTTCACCAAACTGACAGACAACATTGTGGTATCATGATGTATCATTTTAACACACCATTCTCTGCTTGGCAGGGAGCATCAGGGAGCACACGTAATAAGATGTAATATATATATATAAGTGTAAGAAGCATACGGGACATCCCTTACTATGTGTACCAGCCTCTTCCGTCAGACGAAGCTGTTTCACAATCAACCCAGGGAAGCTACGCTGAAACCTTGTCGCAGGGAAGCCGAGCAAAAAAAATCCCTCAAAGGCTTCCGGGAAAATCACAATCAAACTAAATCCATTGGTTGGAAACTCTTCCCAATTATTTAAATACCAACCTCAGGTCTTACCGGTTTCCACTTTTTCAAGAGAAGTCAACCTTTCTCTTGGCATGAACTTTCTTCGGCCAGGTGCATGGCTTTCTTTTGCTCCAGGAAGGAGTCAATCGCTGGGAGCTTCAAATGCGCCAGCACGGAATGCACTCGCTCTACACACCTCAAGCGGCGCCGAAGGGGTGACGTGGTCCGGTCAGCGGCGTTTCGTTGCATGGAGTGGTCCACTTCCATGGTTTGGGCGCCATGGAGGGTACAATGGGCGAATGGACGAGCTCTTGCATACATTACTATGTGTTGTTGAGAAAAACACAACTTCCTACGTAACACTGGCTATATATCTATATATGTTAATGCTGTGCCTTTTAGTCTTTTTGTGTGTGAGTAAACGCTATCGGCCTTCCCCAAATCATGCCAGCAACATTGGGTGTCCTGTCAACAGGCTGGTGAAGCGCCTGCAGCGCTTCATATGCAAAACAAGTAGCACACATGGCAATTGATTCTGAGACTGGCCTCCCCTGTTGCATATTGTTGCATGGAGAATGTCAAACAACGATGACAAACGCTGTCTCATCAAACCCAAACACGTTCAACAAATGTCGCATACTGGTCCCCCAGTGCATCAAGGAGTTGCTGCGTTTACATATATATATATATATATAATCAAAACCAAGTTGCATTTGGTCAAAACCAACAGCACAAAAGTGGTATGTTGTTGCCAGGGCTGTGCAAACCCAAGAAAACTGTCGCGTGAATACTGCCCACAAATCACCACTTTTCCTGGACATGATACTACCTACATCTAAAAGCCTCTGGTGAAGTGCCACATAAGAGGTGGACAACAAATGCCCCATGATGCAAAACATCCAAAAGTTGCATATTGGCCTATGTTGTTGATAATCCTTAATACTGGAACTAGAAATCAATCATCAAGGTAATCTGCACGTTCATCAGCTAGGCATAATTAGATGGTTCTACAGGTCCTAGAGGGCAAAGACCAATCTGCAAGGTTCACACGAGGAGAGAGCTAGAAAAAATCACCAACATCATCCAACATCCATTGCTCTTGGACTTTTGGCTTCGCACCAGTTACTCCGGTTCCGGCAAGGAGCACCGAAACACCACCGGTCAGAGCGTATTGGTTCGCAAACCGACAGTTTCCACAGATGGAAAAGCACACACAGTGACACACCCACCCGTTGGATCATTCCAACAGCCACCACCCACGGACTTCCCCTCCTCCAGTCTTCCACAGCACGATGGGTCCAACATGTTCCACCCGGACCCGGCAGGAACCCCATGCCCCCCGCAGGAATACCCGGCGCTTCGCTCACTTCGGATCTTCCGTCGAAACCAAGGGTTTTCCTCCTCCAGGGCGCTCGGAAGCTTCGCGCACCTCGGTGCGGATCACATGGAGCTCCGTCTGCCAGAACTCGAAGACCGCACTGCTCGGGTACCGCTCCGAAGCCTGGGACCGAAGCGTTGAAGAGTGGCACGGCCAGCAGAATGGTGTGGGCGCCAGACCGGCCAGACCGGGAAGTGGGGCATAGTGGGGCAAGTTCAAACCGGCGAATCTGTCAATAGTTGCATGAACAATCAAGAACGTGTGAATGTGTGTATTTTAAACTCAAGATCAATCACGCATGTCAAGCATATAAGAACGACTGACGGAAAACGCAAAAACATCAGTACATTTACAGCCTCCTAAAATTGTGATCGATGAAAACAACATCGACATCTAGTAGACATCAGGCCATGGTTCGATAGATCTGTTCTATTATCGTTGGCTGCGTTGATTATCCAGTCTCCCTTTGCGAAGCTACTCATCTGGCCGAAAAGAAGTAACAATGCCACCTGAAAATGGGGTGCCTCCAAAGCAAACTGCTTGTGTGAGGAATCGCTGGAACACGCAGTCACACACTCTGACAATTGTATTCAGTTAACTCAGTTACCACGATGGGAAGGATGGCGAAGAACCGCAAGGTGGAAAAGTCAGCTGAAACAGTATGGTTGAACATGGTTTTCCAAACGCACTTAAAAATTAAAATTGGAAAAAACGCAGGTACGTTTTCAGCACCACACCACCAGGCTCTTCGTTGGCCACTCCCTGGTGGTGGGTGGAGTGGCCCCCTGCTTCTTTTTGTGCGCTTTGAACATGTTAAACAATTGACAAGCTGCGCGCTAATAGCGATACCAGGAGCCCTTAGTAGCGAAACCGGGGGGCCTTAGTAGCGTCCTTTGTGACTCGAAACTCGGTGGTCCCTTCGGAACAGGGGGTGACACACACAAATTGCCGTAGTCGGCGCCGTTTTCTTTGCAAAAAACGGTCAGAGGCCCCTATAGTAGTACCGTCTTTGCTCCTAGTAGCGATCTGCTGGCAACAACTTTGTACACATAACGCCACTATTGGCGTTCCGGAAAACTACTAGTCACCTAAAAAGCCTTAGAAAGACAGACAAAGAGAACAAAACAAGAGCAGACTAAGAGGGCAAGAAGGAAAGATAGGTATAGTGACGAGGCCAACTTAGTTAAATGAAAGTAGTTCGCGAGCGGGACTCTGGTCTTAGACCGCTCGGGTAGCTAGCAATAGATAGGAGAAACAGAAGGAAAGGCACCAACACACAAGTGTGTTGAGTGCGATTTCCTTCTGTTGCTCGATTAGCGGGTGGGATAGCAACAGAGGCCCAGGGGCAGGGAGGGGGTGCACTGATTAATTTGTCCGGCCTGTGAATACTTAGCAGCATGACATGGACATGTGAATACTTAGCAGCAACATGAAGATCATGCCGAAAGAATGCAATCACTGTAGACTGAAGGAGTACCGTGGTGAGGCCCGGCGGCCATTGATTCGGTGGATGTGTAAGTGACTTCCAGTGGGATTCCGGTGAAAGGTGGCTGAAACCGTTAGTGCTTTAGAACCCTTTGTCCAGGGGTGGACACACATAGACAGGTCGCCGGCTTTGGTGCTTTCAAATTCCGTTTTTAGGCCCGGCGGCCAATGCATCAGTTGATTCTATGGATGTGTCAATGACTTCCAGTGGAAATCCGGTGAAAAGTGGCAAGTTGGGGTGGATGATTTCCTATGCAAAAACGGCGCCCCAGTGACGGGGATCACACTCAGCACCCGAGTGGGACGGCTGAGCGAAACACACTCTGACAATTGTATTCAGTTAACTCAGTTACCACGATGGGAAGGATGGCGAAGAACCGCAAGTTGGAAAAGTCAGCTGAAACAGTATGGTTGAACATGGTTTTCCAAACGCACTTAAAAATTAAAATTGGAAAAAACGCAGGTACGTATTCAGCACCACACCACCAGGCTCTTCGTTGGCCACTCCCTGGTGGTGGGTGGAGTGGCCCCCTGCTTCTTTTTGTGCGCTTTGAACATGTTAAACAATTGACAAGCTGCGCGCTAATAGCGATACCAGGAGCCCTTAGTAGCGAAACCGGGGGGCCTTAGTAGCGTCCTTTGTGACTCGAAACTCGGTGGTCCCTTCGGAACAGGGGGTGACACACACACACATAAGAATCACTTAACCACCAGAAAACACTTAAACACAATAACTCAACTTCACCTAGAAATATGTTTTACCTGGAGAAGCCAATTCAAAAAAACACATTAGGTCCAAGGTGCCCACTGGAGAAAGCCTTTGGATGCCGCGAAGTCTTCATCGGTGATCGCTTCCCCGAGATAGGTTTTTCTTGGGCGGGCGCTGAGATGTGCCAGAAGATGCGGCTGAGATGTGCGGCTGATTTCTAAGTGCCCGGAATCAGTGAGACCCACTCTGCAGCATCGGACAAACAAATTGTAGAAGGTAGAGAAGAGGTTTTTGTTCTGATGTCCAGCTTGGATCAACATTTGGAGTGCAACCTGGTAACCAAAGGGAGAGTGGGACCTTCAACCATTTGGCCCAATCCAAAGCAACATTGCATGAATATAGTTGGACCTTCAAACAGTTGTTTAACGCCTCTTTGCCGTTTCCGAAAAGAAAAATGACATGTTCTTGTACCTCTGACGTGGCCACCCTCTGCTACATTATGTTCAACCGGGTTTGGGATTATTTTCCCTGTCCAGGGGCCTTTACTTTGGGGTGTCTAATGGTGTCTCCCCAATTAGTCTCTGTTTGATGCACACCCGTATTTATCCAGTATTCGCCCACATGGAACTCATTCTCTGATGCAAGAAACCCAACCTTTAGCCATGCTTTGTGGCCACTTATGGCCACTTCCCTAGGAGCACTGGCAGTGCACCAAAATGAAGAACCGTTTGCACCCATCGAAAAGGAAACAACTTAGGAGCAGGGTGGGCTCCCAAACTAATATATAGAGGAAAGCAACCCCACGGTCTGAGAAAACCCCTAGGGCCTCGGTAAACATCTCGACAGAATTCCACCTTACCCACCTGCACTGTTCATACGAACCCTATAACCAGTGGTGCGTAGAGGAGAACAGTCGCAATGGCCTTTCTCAGGCGGACCTTGTATTTCTCCCCGTCTCCCATGTGAACCTCTCGAAAAGCATCCGTTCTATCCACACGTTTTCCCCTGCGGCTAAGGAGCATCCAAATGTTGTAACACAAAAGCACTAAAACAGCAAACGGCGCCATGATGCCATCCTGAACATAGCCTCGATCCCAACTCCACCATCCCAAGGGCTTTAGATGGTTTTTACTAAAATCGTCAAAGGTGTGAGAGGCCTATCATCTCCCAATGTTTGGGAACCTGGTTATAACATAGTTATATATACTATGAGGATTTATATAATACATACATATATATATATATGTTTTTTTGTTTTGGGGGGTGAGGTTCCTTTTGCCAGAGTTCGGGGCATTCCAGCAAAAAGAATGACGCCGCCCCCCCGGGGCCCTTGGAGTCAAATAGCAGGGCGTCCATTGACCGGCCTGGGGGCGGGAGGTGCTTGGGGACATCCAAGCAGAATGACCGCTTCTTGACATTGAAGGACCACCCTTTCATAGCCTTTTGCAGGAAAAAAGGGCCTATCTCATACACTCCAGCCCCCAAGAAACACCATCTCAAGAACGGGTGCTCTTGGACGACATTTGTTGTGCTAAACAAGAAACACAAACCCAGTAGGCTTTGAGCTAGTTTGTGCCACGAGTTTTGTTCTAACCAGGCCTGCAAAGGCTTAACAGAAACACAATATATATACTGTATATATATATATATATAAATAAAACAAATTAAAAACACAACATATTTGAGAGGTTAATATATAGAAATTGTATTTGTTGCTATTTGGGTGTTGCGTGCATTGCTTATCAGTGCTGCATCGTGTTTGGGTCTGTGGGTGTTTTATTGTCATATTTTGGATGTTGTTTAGAGGTTATTTATTCCACAAGTACACGCAGGATAAGTGGTAGTCGTTATTCAACTAATTTCTTTTCTGGCAGGGTTGCATAGTTTTAAGATGTTTTTTAGGTGGAGCAGGTCGAGAAAGGAGGTTTAACTACTTTGCTGATGCTGGTGTCAGGAATGGCAGCACGGCAGGTTTTTGGCACACATGGCACAAAATGAACTCACTACTGTTAATGGTGTTTCGTTATAAGGTTGCAATGTTACTTCTACAGGTGCAAAATGGTGCAAGTAATATCACTGAACGAAACCAAACAATACTTACTTTTGGTGACGGACATTATGTAAGTGACATTTCATGCTGGCGGTGGCAGTGGTAACATGTTGTTTAAGGCAATGAGCTGATAGAAAGCAGTAAACAAATAGACATTACAGCAAGCAATCTGTTTGTTAGAGGCACTTACGAAACCTCACGAAACCTCCTAGCAACAACAGAAAACCAAAATTGAAACTTATCAATGAAAACTGAAAACTTGTTCTTTAAAGATTCGTGAGATCAAGAACATTCCAGAACAATCTTCCATATATAACCGCGCAAGAGCCGCTTGCCACTAAAGCTTGTGCCGCTGCTTGTGCCCTATGATAGGGCCACTGAAACTCTGCTGTTTTACCTTTGGGGGTTTTCCTGTATGTTTCTGGGTTTCTATGTTGCTTTGAACCTTTCAATCCGCCACAAAAAGCATCATCCACACCAACATTTCTATGACTATTGGGTCTTCGCTCTCACATTGAGCCTGATTCCGTGACGGTGACTCCTGACAATGGAAATCTTGTTTGCACATGACTAAGGGCACTGACTGTATCACATTGATCTTTGCTGGGTGCGCAGTTTGAGTTTGGTACAGGTCGGCTCCTGAGGAAATCTCTGGCTCCCTCCGGTGGGCGCTTGCAACCGAACATGGGCGGTGCTCTTTCACCAGATGCACCGCCTCGACGACAAAGCGCTATTCCCTGTCCTAAAGACAAACGAAAACCCATCAGTCAATGGCAGGCAAAGGCATGCCAAGTTGCCGGCAACTGTTGTATATTTAAGTAATTAACATCACCGTCGGGCAGTAAACCCCGTTCAACCGTGGCTGATAGTTAGTAAAGTTCTTCCCCCCGAATAGTGATCTGACCAACCGTTCCAATACGGTGGGGTTTGACACAGGTGACACACAACACCCTTTCGTTCATTGGACCCCCATCGGTGATCCAAGAAGCACTGATGCAGCAGCTCCAGTGCATCGGTGCGGCTGCCCTGCAGGGTGCGTCCGCCCGCACGGGACGCGACGCGGAGCATCTGCGGAGGCAGCATGGACAAGACCTCGGGTTTTCCATTGAAAAAGATCAGGTCGCTGGGGCAGTGATCTGATGACATCTGAACATACTATGTCACCCCCACCCGGCTAAATAAAAGCAAAAACACAGTGCGCCCCAATCTCTCACCAAGTCCCCCGCTCGCTGCCGCCTTCTTCCTTCTTACTTATCTCGTGTCAGGACCAAGGGGCTAAGTTAAAAAGGCCCATGACGAAGCCCGCGAAGCTGCGGACGAAGTGCGCTTCACGGCCACTGAAATGGAGGCCTCACGGGTTCCGTTTTGAACCGTTCCGAGGCTGGCTGAGTTGTCGGGGGCCCGCTGATTGACAGTGTTTTTTCCTTGGGTGTATGTTTGTTCGGCGAACGCATGCCGGATTCGAGGCAAAACCTGGCATAAGCATCTATGTGTCTTTCTCGCAGGCAGGATGTTGCAGGTCCAAACCTGGCAACATGTATGTTTCATGTCCTTTCAGCGACCTCACTCCTGGCCTCGGAGGTGGGACATACGAAGCAATGACCTTCGAACCCTGGAGTTCGCCGTATACGATTCAGACACAAACGAGCAAAACGGGTTTTGGAGTGGGTGGTTGGAAGCCTAGGATATTGACCTTTTGGGCGTTTGCGAATAACTAGCTTCCGAAGAACATCACTTGGACCGTCCTCCTTGAAACATCTTGAATCTGGATATGGTTTTTCATGCTACAACATTTCCAGCTGAGCTTCTGGGGTGCACCAACCAAAACAAGAAGAACCAGTACTCCAGTACTCCACTGAAAACTAACATAGACACTGAAAACCACTGGTTTGTAGAGGAAAACATCTTTGATGGTTCCATCCGACCCGGGTCCATGTTGGTTTTCGGGAGTGCTAAGAATAATAGCAAACTGGAGGAACCAAAAGACACCGACCCCAGTCACGGAAAGCCTTCTTCGAAGTCCTTGATGTAGCGCAGCGAGCGCACCAAGTTCACCCCCGACTTCAGCCACGCATTCTTGGCCGCTTGCACCACTCCTTCGGAGGCCGAATGAAGGAGCTTGCATCGGATGAAGGAGGCCGCGTGGACGCATGTTTCATGGTCATGGAATGCCTGGAGGTGCGTTTGTCACTGTGCAACTCGGCACGTACCAAAGCGCGCATGTGTTTGGGTGGCTGGACTCGGCGACCTGGGTCATGACGCCCCGGGCACTGCAGGGCACCGACCGGTTCACCACAGAAAAGGTACCGATTCCTCTCGTTCCGGATGAACCTCCGTGGAGGTCTTGACTCACAGCCGGTTTTCCTGGATCGGTGTCGATCCAAAGGTCTCCCGCGGTCTCGGATGGAGAAGGATCCCAGGTGTTGAGGCCCCCCCCCCAAAAGGATCCACCGCATGCCTCCCACATGGCACAAAGCATCGACGACTCACAGAAAGGGTGCGAGCCAGTGGGCGAGTTCCGGCAAAACCATCATCTATCCAACCATTTGACACCCATTGATTCACCCAAGCAAACCGAACAATCAATCACATGTTTCCATCCAAGCTATCAGTTGTCAGCACTCAAGCCAGCCTTGCACTCCTTACTCCCCCTGGAACTAGCATGGTTAAGTCGTGGAGTTCACCTCCTCTTTCTAGAGGATTTCATGGTCTTCTTTTCGGTTCCATACCATCCACTTCCACTTCCACTTCCTCTTCCTTTTCGCTTCGATCTCCCCAACCGCGCAGAAGCTGCAAAGACCGCGGCGCCACTCCTGCGATGAGGTAGACCATCCCCAGGAGCATCTTCTGTCCCACCCAGGGCGCGTCCTCCGGTCGACAGGGCAAGAGCAACGGGTCTCAGGAGCACGGGGTCTCTGCCCGGCGGTCTCAAAGAGGTATACCTAAACAACGATGGACAAATGGTGAGAGGGTTCCTTCGGTTAAATAAGTTGAAGGGTTGTTCATCGTTCCTCTCTCTAAGAACATTGAACAGTTCAACAGAAAGAAGGTTATGAATGTGCTTTCTCAAATCTCCTTGATATGTCAATCCAGCAGTCCACGCTACAATTATCTACCATTCAAAACTACTTATCCGACAAACAGCTGCAAATACTCCTGCAACATGATCTCCAAAAAGACTACCGAAATGAAACATGTGTACTAAACCTGAAGCAATACCCCTGCCAGTATATAGTAAAGAATTGTTGATGGGACCACCCGATGGCAAACAAAAAGATCACTGCCGCAACGTAAGGCTGACATTTTTCTCGGTTCCCCCCTGGAGGAGAACCAGGACCCACGGTGGGTGGTGCAAAAAGATAGCAATGTGTGAAATCCTGTTTCATCGCACCGAGGGCCACATAAGAATAGATCCCATGCCCAAGCTGTGAAGGCACAAAACGACAATGCCCCCAAAACGGGCAGCGGCTAAAGATCTATAAACGTATACCTAAGGGCAGTTAGAATACTGTAATTACTCAAACAGTATACATACGATGCGCAAGTTGTTTGGCTGGGACAAGCTTTTGGATGTGTTTACATGATGTGGTTCAAGTGCGAATGCAGTCAAATAGATGGTTCTGCAATGTTCTGCACAACTCAAGGGAAACCGTGGACTGTAGTGCCCCTCAGAAACCCGGATCCAACAGCAATTCACCCCTTCCACTTTTAAAAGATGAAGACACTCAGGACAACCTGCAGCCGAAGCACTGACCAGTGAAACTCCCACGACACCGATTCGTAAGGCCCATCCCATCCCGCCTGCCTATCCCATCCTCCCATCCACATCGGGTCCTCCAGCAACAGACTTTCTGCCGTCCAAACTCGGGTCAAACACTCATCCAACTGGTCGTTGGCAAAGGATAACAAACCAAACCTGGCGACACGAACAGCGACACGGTGACAACTTTTAGGTCACGGAAAGGCATAGTTTTTGGGAGGTACGGAAGAGCATGGTAGGCGTGGTAGGTACGGAGTTGGGCTCGAGGTGCGCCAAAATACAGCCACAAAGTGCCACAAAGCAACGTCCTTTGCTTTTGAATCAACACCTAAAATCGTTTAAAACGTGGGGATCCTTTTGGTTCACCTGGTTTTGGGTCCGTCGACCTCTCAACACCCACCCACTGCAGCCATGGGCGCATGAAGCTCACCATCGTGTAAATCAGGGCGAAGACCCCACGCGTATCCCGCGTGCTGTCATTTGCCGGTCGTATCCGAGGTCGTTCACCTTGGGAAGAACGCAGCAGCCAAGGAGAAAAGACACGACCTACCAGCCTCCCTCCCAACAGTCAATGGACAATGACAATTGACAACATTGATAAAACCATATTATCAAACCCTTGTCCTCTACAAACAGCGGCTTGTCCACTTCCATCATTGGAGGGAGGCTACTCAAATGGGCAGTGCGGATCAGGTCTCGTGAGTTGCAAATCAGCCAGGTCTAGCACCACCTCCAGAACCTCCCCCGAAAAACACGCGCGCGCGACAAAGGCCCGCCCGTCGCGGAGTCCTCTCCCTTCCCCCCGAGCAAGCGGAGCAAGCGGCGTTGGGATCCTTCTCGGAAGGTCTCTTCCGCCTTTTGAAAGTCGTTGGTGAACAAAAGGCGAATCCCCTCCTGGTCGCGCGAGGCGGGGATAAAGGGATGGAATCGGGAAGGATCGGGAAGACAATGAAGGCTCCAGGAACAACAACAACAACAACAACAACAAGTATTATATGCATTGGCATATGAATTAGCTCCAGGGTGAGAGTATATGGCGAAAGTGTTTTTTTACTACCTCTGATTGCGCTATCTATGTGCTTACAAAGGGGACATGTTTAGGGAGTTCTGCGGAAAGCTTGTCGATGTCAAATTGGCATATTCACAAATTGGCGAAACGGGGCACATTGCATTTTGCATTTGCGCCATCAACACTCGCCCTGTCATGCGTGGTTCACATAAGATGACTTGCCAACTTCCTCAGTGTTTGCAGAGTTTGGCAAATTTTCAAAGGCCAGTAGTAAACGGGCTCAATGTAAATTATGCCATCTACAGTAGCTGTTTGATGGCACACTTGTGAGAGCAATGTCCACTATGTATATAATATAAACATTCAGCTTACCACATGTTTCCCTTGGCGTGAGAAAAACAGGATCTTTGCCAATGTTGACTTTCACATTATTCCTGGCTCAATTCTGACATGCATGTATGGCATTGCGCCATCCATGACCCAATTTTGGCGGCAAGTCTTCCAAGCCGCTCTCGCTATCAGAATGCCCAACAAAGGTTGAATTGCGCCATCGGTAAGTTTATATTGGTGGAGCACACCTGGCGCAATCTACCTCTAGGTCGTTTGCCACTGAGCATTGCAAAAATTGTGCCATCCTCTTTGGCAACGGTGTATGTATATGTACTGTATATATATATATATCTGTTCGTATTGTGAAGAACACGCTCTCAAAACTCTTGCAAATGGTCCCCAGGAAATACAACAAATCCAGGATTCACTAATAATTAGTGGATTGAGAGTAGATGGCACAATCCCCCAAAGGTTCTTTATAATTTTTGGACCCCTATCTAAACGACATCTTGGGCTTTCATCTGCCCTGAAACCACTATAACAAGTCACCCGTCACCGGTGTTCATGTCGCCCGTCCGTCACCAGGCTTCCTCCGTCGTCAAACCCATGGCTCCTGTAAGGCGTTCATGTCACGCTGCAGCTGGTCATCCTCCGGGCGACTGGCGAACAAACAGCTCCGGTGAGCATATATACAGTGTATTTATACCTTGAGTCTCCAAAGACCTTTTTTTTCTGCGTTTTTGTTTTTTGTCTAATATTTTTGCGTTTTTGCTCGAAAAACGCGTTTTTAGAGATGAGGACTCAAAAAAAGGTGCAGAGTGAATCTTCATCCGGACGCGTCCGGCACGGACGCTTAAAGACGCCTTTTGGACGCAAAAAGACGCGTTTTGGACGCCGAAAAAAGGTCTCAGGACACTGTCTAAGGAGGATCTGCCAGGGCACACACAAAAAGGAACATTTCGTGACATATGCAAAAAAGAGTGCTTTCTTTCAAAAACCTCTTTTTCTTGGAAAGGCAAATTTACAAGGGTCATTGGAGACTCAAGGTATATACAGAGTGGTTTTCTTTCAATTTCACCGTCACTGCTTGAGAAAATGCTTAGAGGGCATTGATTGGAGGTTCTCTAGCACAGGTATTCTATGCATCGTAAACAGTGACCCACTTAGAGGAGCAACTCCTCTCAGTGTATTGGAACCCAATTGTGTCTAGGTGTGAAGGTCCTACTGATGTTGTTTCTTGGCTGCTTTTTTGCCAGGTAAAACAGTGCTTACGCTTATGTATATACTATCAACATCTATCAACCAGCAGTCACATGTCGGGGTGCGATCCATGATCGCGGTGCCCGAACGTCACATCCACTCACTTGGGGACTAAAAACCACCCAACTCCATGTGACTCCTGGAGCAAACTTTAAGGATCTTTAAGGTGCTGTTGGGCCCTTTGGCATGAACATGACTTCGCCCGATGACGAGGTCGCAGCGATGAGGACGGGACACCCACTTTAGATAGAGCTTCCTGCCGCCTTGGGGCATCGGATCATGGCACTGTCAGGTGATTCTAAGGTCTGCATGTCACTTCCGCGTTCACCTGACGTAACACCTGCCATGCGTTCCCAGTCCTCTCGTCTTCCGGAACGAAGCGAACTCGATCCGAAGAAACCCCCAACGCTGGACCGAACGAAGCTCCGCGGGGCGCATGTGATCCACGTGCTTCCTGGGGAGGTCGGAACCTGCGTCGCTCCTGGACGCTCGCGCCCATACTGGCAGGATCAGCCATACCGAGCAATGTGCCCGTGGCCCTCGACATGTGGATGCACTTGTTGTGAAAAGGCTGCGGGGTGGGTGGAACATTGCTTGTTGGCCGGGGTGACGTGGCCCTATGTCATCTGCAAAAACATGACACGGGCCTGTGCTATATGTCTGGGCTGCCCTGGTAGGAAAAACTACGATATGCAAATCAATGAGTTTCGTATGTCTTTGGCGCATTGCGGGCTAATTGCATGGTTCTGAAGGACACTCAACTCTTAAACAAGCTGTTGCGCTTCACCCTTCAGTTGGGGGGCACCTTGGCCAGAAAATGGCACCATCTGATGGTTGATGAGATGTCGATGAGTCTATAGTAGCCGTTGCGCGCCTCTGTCTAAGCGGCTTAAACCGCTGAAATTCCGCGAGGGGCGGCGAGGATGTGCGAGTGGACGATGGGGTCCATGGAGGTGTCAAATTGTTCAAATTGGTATTCAATAACTATACGGGCATATGGTATTCTGAGATTAATCCTACGAAGCCAAATGAATGCATTATAATGACAAATCTGTTAAATGTGATTGTACATTGTTGATAGATAGATAGATAGAAATATATATATATATATAGATATTCAAGTCATTCAACTGTCGTATAATGCCTTGATGTCTGGAGCCTCTCTCTCGTGGCAATGATTTGTACAAATGGCTTCAAAACCCCGCGACCAATGGGGTGTGCAATGAATGCAGTGCCTCGGAGAGAAACAAGAGTACGGATAGCCCTGAAGGGCCTGCACGTGACTACTATTGCTTAAAAACATTGCCAGAACCCTTGACGTGGGATTTCTTCATACTTGTTCTATGCCCTTTGTGAGTCTCCCAGCTGACCCCGGACTCCCCGGATGACTTTTTGCAGTAGGATGCTGTAGGGATCTGCGCACTTGTGGCTCAAATCGGGCGCGCAACTCGCGGCCGACCCCATTGCCACTAACAGCTGATGGGCACGTAGGGCACCAGCAACCCCAACTGGTGAGGAGAGCTCTATATCTATCGATATTGGCCATGGGGTCGGCCCAAACCATCACAGAAATGCTTGCCGCAAGCCTGCCACACAGAACCTGAAGCATTAGACCACCAATTGAAGACTAACATAGACTAACACTGACCTCTAATGGATTACAGTATGTTTTGGATTATGATGTCCCTCAAGTGTGCACTTCTGAAAGGAATACTGCACCTGTTGCGACAGGAGTCGGACCGTCAAGAACTGTGATCCATGAATATCCATGGTGCGGCATTTACATGCTCTGCTGCAACCGGCAGGTGGTGAGTCAAACCCAAACCACTGTGCAATGCACCTGCTACATCAGTATCTAGGGTGTTTATTGCACATAGGGTCCGGCAAGTATTTTTATCTGGATAAAATGTCCGGAGATAAACAACTTAGATTATAAGTGCTGTGGATGTCAGGCATGCAAAAGTGAGACAGCGCAATGACCCTGGCAACTTCTGCAGCGCAATGATTATGTGTCACGTCTCTGATGAAAACCACAAACATCACATAGGCAGAGTGTTTTTGAAACGGGCGTAATGCTCTGAAAAAGAGTACTGCAGCATCCGATTCTGCCCTGTTTTTGTTGATGGTATATTTCTGGAGAATAGGGAGGCCGGCCAGTGGGAGGCAGCACCTTCTTTCTTCAACCAGGAGGCCCGCCGAAAAGGTCGTGGAGCCGCTCAGATCATCATCCGTCCACCCCGTTTTTCGCTGGTCATATGCCGCCGGCCGCCGAGGTCTCGTGCGGAGACAGGGCTGCCATCGGTTGCCATTCCTCGAATCTTTGCGAGGCAACAGCGCTCACATCTTTTCACCTGGCCTGGCCAAGGCCCAGTCGCCGCAGGGAAAGGAACATGCCCAGAAAGCATGGAACATACGGAACATGTCAGGCCCGAAAATCGACTCCCTTGAGGAATATGTTCCAATCCGCCACCAGCCAGGGGTAAAATGAGTCAGGACTGGCTGGTCAGCATGCCCTGAATCAGGAACTCTAAATCTGCGAAAGCCCGTCGGACATTGAGGAAAAGCTACTGCAGCTAGTGCCGAAGGAGCACGGGAGTTGGAATCTGAGCCGTCTGATTGCCCGAGCTGTCTATCTAGGTATCCATCTAATGAAATGAATGCTAATCACATCCTTCTTGTATCATCTATCAATATCGTCTCATCCCGTATCTTTATGCAAGTTGCACTCCACAAGTCCACCATGTCTCCCCAGTGCTGGGCTCCCCTGCAAACGCGTCTGGAATTCTCGGCCCTTCAGCTCTTCACCTGCTTCGGTCCCACCGGTGGGACCGCACGACAGTTGAAAACAATTACCGAACACATGACTGACTACTCACTACTCTCCAATCATGGAAGTGGATGGCATGCGGCATGACCCCAGGAAAAACCATGCTCCTCTACAAACAGGGATTGTCCTTCCAGGTCAACAATCAAAACATCTGGGGATCAAGGGACTGGAGCATCGCTTCATACTTCATCTGTGGGGACGACTTTGGGCGCAGTCCATGATCCTCTCACGAGTGTCTCCCTTTAAACGCTTCAGGTTCAAGACTGACTGTGATGCCTCTCTCAGCAGTTGCATGTCCAAAGCCCGAATTCAGGTGTGATGGAGGCGCCTTGTCCACCGTCACCTGTAAGCAACATGCAGTACATCAGGGAGTAGGTCGTCTGGTAGAACCTCGCAGGCCGCATCAAATTCGATGTGACGTTGCATAGAGCTCGTAGGCTCGCTAGTCAAGATTGGAGCAGATGCTTACACCATCAACGACATGTTGGACCATGTTCATTAGGACTTTGCTTTATTTATGTCAGAACTCAAACCAGAATCCAAGGGCAGGTGGAAGTTTAACCTTCCAAGTTGCTCAACTGCTTTCCCAAAAAAAAAGTGTTGCGTTGCTCGCGCATGCACCACCAACTACTTCGGGCAGCAATGTTGTTCGACATTCCACTTGTCTTGGTCTATATAATCTGGAGTTTTGGATTGCAAATCTGGCGCAGGTGTGTAGGTGCCTGACTGTCTGGTCCGTGCCACGGGTGAGAGTGTGTTTATGCTCAGCTTGCTTGTATGCTATCGTATGCTCATCCGTTGATGCAGGCCGCTCGGTTGCAGCGTTCGAATCCCCAGTCTTCCACCTCCATGCGTCGACCGCTTCGGTGCTCGGTTGGTCAAACGAGTTCGACGAGAACGAAGAAGGTCTGCAACCATCGGTGGAGTGGAACATCGACGAAGCCATGGGGCATCCATCCCGAGCGTCCTGAGTTCCTATAGTCTTAGACTATAGTATGCTGTAATGTGATGCATTCGAAGTACTCCGAAACTGCTTGTGAAGAACGTGGGGGAAAAGGGATGATTGGGATTATTATGCTAGCAACTGCATGTGAAAGGACTAAACTTGACCGTCTGTCCTCAAATTCCTCGAAGGCGGGACATCCCCCAATTGAACGCAAATCAGCACCTCTTCGCAAGTTTTGGGGGGGGTTGAGACTTGTTGGAGGCTCCTCCAACAATACTAACGCTCCAGGTACCTGCAGAACATTCTCCGCTCTGGGCTCTTCCCACACCATCATGAAGGCCAAGCCCACATAGAAGCAAATCAGCCCAGCCCTGCCACGGCCAAAACATGGGGCCAAAAAACACCATCCGAGGCCAAGTCGGACGGCAAGCACGTGCGGTCGAGGCTTTTTGGTACTATCAAACCAGTGGATGACAGGTCACTGATTCAAATATGATGATGATGATGATGATGATGATGATGATGATGATGATGATGAT